CAAGAAGTACTACAGAAATTCAATGGGTTATCAAATACAAACAGTAACAAACAAACAGCTGGAATGGAAAACTGTCCAAAAAAGTCTCAAAGCCATCTCTGTTTGTAAGCATGGTCTGGTTTAAGTTGAGAAAACTATAGGTGAAGGTTATTGAAAAATATCCATGTCCAACAGTGAGCCTAAGCTCACCCTTAATACACAACTGAAGACATCAATTCACATTAATCAACATTTTAACAACTCTGACAATGCTGCAAAACAATTCTATAAAACCCACTGTCATCTATCACAGAAGTCCCACCAGGAACTGCAAATCAAAAGATAAATGCTGACATTGTTTACCAGAAGCTCCCGAGCAAAACAGAACCGTGATCCGTTTAAGCCAGGCTCCAATGCAACAGCAACATGTGACAGTATGGCAACTGCTTGCTAACGGAATTCCTCAGGTGAAGGTGGATGTAAAGCAATGGGGGCAGTGGGAGAAGATGGCCATGAGTTGCCCTGGGACCCTACTGCATGTAGCTCACTGCATGTAGTTCCACAACAGACCAGACAGACCTTCCAAGGGCCCATGCCATGTGCTGATAACAAAGTCTTATTCCAACACCTCCCCTCTTCACACTGTGAGATCTAACACACACCTTCTGGCTTTTGGCCCCGGCCTTTTGTTAGGTGGTAGGTAGAGGCAGAAGCACAGCCCCCCGTTTACTTTGGTACTTCAACCCCTATCCATCATACAACAGTTGTACAAAAGCTATCCACTCAAAGACTTGTCTTTCAATGATAGGTAGCAGTGACTTTCCCCAACTATGAACATTTTAATTGTTTAAGACAACACGAATTTGACATTTGCAAATGTTATATTTTTAAGCAAGAACAGGGCAGGAAAGTAAAGACAAGCATCACAGGAAAGGTGTGTGATGAATTAAAGAAACACAACTGAGCTAAAAGCAAAGAGATCCAACACACTAAGGTTCTTCTGAAATGAGGTCAGGTATCTTTAAATACTGGCCTACTCTATTGCAAATCCAGCTAAAGTAATGATAAAAATCCTTAAATAATCATTTCCTGGCAATAACACTATGCTTACGTGTCCTCAAAACTATCTGCACGTATGAAATCTATGGCCTTTGAAATCCTACTGCAGCTTACATTGCCCAACGCAAGTAAGCAATAACTACGATGAAAATAACTCAGAGATACTTAAAAATAAACACCAAAGGTTTTCAACTGACAAATTCCAAGCTTTTTGAAATCATTTTCCTATTCTGTTTTAAACTACACACACATTTGCAAAATTTGTAACAGACGAGCAGCCTGACAGATGCCGAATATAACATTTAAAGTGAACTTAGACACTGACTTAAAAGGCAACTAACTTATCACAATTACAATCAATGAGACTTCTGCTACTACATTTTTGTTAAGAACAATGTTGGTGTTGCTTATACCCTGTACAGATTAACAAAGCTCTAGTACTTATAGCAGATTACAAAACACTATTCTGATACATTTTCACGAATAACCAGCTGTTCATGCAATGACAGCAATCAGAACAGACTCTTCCCCCCTGCAACTTCTTTTCTATCACATTCCTACCATTCAGGTACACAGCATGGAAGTTGAGGAGTAATCATCCAAACACAGGAGCTAATTTTCCAGGATTTCAGATAATGAGATAAGAAGGTCCCTAATTATATCCATTTTCTATGAACAATGCCCACAAGATTCAGATTTTTTTTTTTTTTTTGGTCTCCTATGTCCTTTTGTATCTTCAGTAATGCAACTTCCTTCTGGTTCGTTTTTTTTTTAGGTTCCCCCCCCCATCCTTTGGTAAATGCAATCTTGCCACTTAAATTCATTTGAAAGCTGGTATTTCAAAAACATTTTTCTCATTCATCACTACGATTATGGTTCTCTGTGTTCTTCCTTATGAACTATGTCACGAACAACCTACTTGCTCGCAGTGCCAAGGCTGTGCACGGCCTTTTTGAGCTCCACCTCTTGAATTTGTACCTCAGCTCTATACAGATAGCCTGTTGTCAGAAAGTAAGGAAGAAAATATGAGTGTTTGTCTTGCACTTGAGGCAGGAAACAAGTTATCTGCGATAACCCTTCTGGTGACAGTGCTACCTTCCTCTAAATATATCCTCCAAGTCTGATACCTATGAATCATTCAGTGATGCTGAGATAGTCGGGGTACTCAAACTTCTGCACATTCTTTTGCTCACAGCTTTCTCACAGCTCCCTCACGCTTTCCCAGTACCTTCCTTACATTTACATGCTGCCTTATCTTCCCATTTAAATTAATAAATTGTTTGTGCAGAAGCAATATTTGCTTATGCATCTGTACTGTATGTAGTATAATGGTGCCCTGGCCTGTAGGCACGATTACAATATAAATAACAAAAATGAACTGTTCACCCGAGATTAAGTCTCCTGACAATGCTATTCACAAAGCAGTATCCTTCAAATGGTGATGGACAGCCCCCCTAACTCCATGCTCTGCCACCAGTAACTCCAGTACCGGCACCACAACAAAACTGATAGATTCCCCACCTAAAACCTTCACAGTTTCCTACACATACCCGTGTTCCCAGCACCATTGGAATTATACTGATAACCAGGTAAGATATGGGATAACAGAGATCCACACAGAGCTTCCCTTCTGGAAGAGCCCTGTCATCCCTTACCACAAGCCTACTGAGAATACCTGGCATCTCACAGAAGCAAATTCAAGGCAGTTTTCCATCTGTCCTCTTAAACTCATCAAATTTGTGTAAGGACGCTGTCTTTGAGAAAGTTAAAAACCAACAAGCAGCATTCTCAGATATGATATCATTTTTCCAATGGAGGCTCCCCTAGCTGAGGAAATACTCTTTTTGGGTTATTCTGTTTTAATGCAGGGCTCTCTATTTTACTACTGCTTAGACTGAACATTCAGTGCAATATTTCCTATGATGGGATTAAGCAGCTGAACAATTTGACTGGCTAACAGTGATTCAGATGTGTGATTACAGCACAGAAAATGGTCTGACATGAGGCACGCCAACACAACCGGGAAACACAGAAGTGAAAAGGGAGACGAGCCCAAGCAGCCCTATGAAAAGAAGAGGAATCCTTCTACTTGTTTTACTTCTGCATTCACTTAGCTGGTTAATCAGTATTCTGCAAATAATAAAAGATACAAAATAAAATCCACCAAACAGATACAACTGAAGACCAATCTCCACATGGAAAAGGTGGGGGGGAAAAAAAAAATCGCTATTTTAATAAAACTCATTTCAAAAGCATTCAGGGCTGATAGCAGCTGTACCCACACAGCAGCTTTCCATACAGACACAGGACACCAGGCAGGAAGAGCCACAATGGGAAGAAAAAGAGCACTGATCAGCTCTAATTTTCCTCGCAGCTCATCTCATCTCTGGCTCCGACACAACACTTGGCCTCACGTTCACATAAAGCACATATTTTTACAGGAAAATTTCATTTCCTCCTAAAGCAAGCTGAAAACATCCCCAGAATTCAACCGAAAGGAAGGAGCTGCCTCTTTAGCACCCACTTTTTGCTCAGCCTCGAGCTGGCGTTGCAGGGTCTGTCAGTTCTCACAGCTCACACCGCTCTGCTCTTTGTACAGACCGAGACGTTTCTTAAGCATTTCCATTTTTCTTCCTAAAACTTTCTCATCAAAACCAAACGCTCCCAAGTTTCTCGCCTAAGGTTTGCCTTCCACGCATGGAAATCAACCCGAAGCGTGCGGAACTAACGATTTCGTGTACGTTTGGCAATTCCTTTCGGCTCTGGCCGTCCGAAAATCTGCAGCAGAGGAAAATCCTGCCCTCGGTGCGCGTTCGCCGCCCAGCAGAGCGGCCGTGGGGCGCGGGCAGCTCCCGCAGCGCGGGGCGGGCGCGGAGCGAGGCGCCTCGGGTTAAATGCGCGCAGCTGACGTCAGAGCGAGAGCGGCCCTTTAACACAAAGGGAAACCAACTCGCAGTCCCCGCGACTCCACCAAACTCTCCACACGGACTTCCTATTTCGCTCACAATTGTATCTCTTCACACACACACACACACACACACACACACAAAAAAAAAAAAAAAAAAAAAAAAAGCGCTCGGCCGGCTTTGTCCTGCTGCCGCTGCCTCCAGCTCAAGCTCCGTCCCCTCACAAACAACCGCAGCCGAGCGCAGCCAGTCCCCAAGCGGCTCCCCGAGGGGGGCGGGCGCCGTGCCGTGCCCCGACACCTCACGTAGCCGCAGCAGCACGGCGGCCCCGAGCGCTGCTCGCCCGCATCCCCGCGCCAAGTTGCCCCGCTCGCAGCCCGTTGGGGCCGACGGGCGCCCGCACCCCGTCCTCCGCCCTCCCCCCACGCAGGGGAAGGGCGCTCTGTCACGGGAGGAGGAGGCGGCCCCCGCCCCCGCTCTCTCCCCACAGCCCGGGGCCGCCGCTTGACAGCTCCCCGAGCGCCGTCAGCCTCTCGGCCAAGGAAACTCTGCCTCAACTTTGCGTGTTCGGGAGGGGGGGGGGGGGGGGAGCGTGAGCGTGAAGGGAAGAACCGTCTTTTCTTCCTCAAAGAGAGGAAGGGGGTGGGATAGGGATAAGCGAGGAGCAGGGAGCGATATTCCATATCCAGGCAGCGTCCTGGAGGAGAGAGCCGAGGAACGGGAAGAGAGACGAGCAAGCAGAGGGAACGGCATCGGCACCCGGGAGAGCCGGAGACGGGGGAGGAAGAGGGGAAGGGGAAGAGGGCAAGTCCGAAGAAAGAGGCGAAAGGAACGGGGACGGGAGAAGAAAAGTGTGCGGGGAGAACAGGCGGAGGGAGACAAAGGTGAAAAAGGAGGAGGAGGAGAAAGTGCGAAGGGGAGAGGAGGAGGAGAAGGAAGAAAGAAAGAAGAGCCCCTCTGAAAATGGCATTGAGCAGCGGGCACGGGGGGGGCGGCGGGGCTCCGTGACAGCTCTGCCCGCGCCCGGCCCCTCGCACACAGCAGCGCCCAACTTACTTCTTTCTGGCTCTCTGGAAAGGGGAAGCGCCATCTTTGCGAGGCCGGCCCCTTGGTCTTTTGTCTGTGGCTGCTGCCGCTGCTGCTGGGGGGGGAGCTGCAGGCTCGGGGGGTTGCTGCTGCTGAGGCGGCTCCGCCACCGCCACCACCAGGCTCTTGTCCTCCGTTGACATCCTAGTCAGCAGGACGAGAGAGACACATGGATGATGGTGATGAAGATGAGGATGGTGATGGGGATCCCGATGCTCCTCCTGCTCCCGCGGCTCCTCTCCTCCTCACCTCCGCCTCCTCCACCTCCGCCTCGCATCGCTGGCCTCAGCCGCCGCCGACCAGCGCAGGTAGCAGGGGGAGCAGCATGGGGAGAGCGGGAGGAGGAGGAGGGGAGGGAGGAACCGGGGGAGGGGGGGGGGGGGGGGGGGGGGGGGGGGGGGGGGGGGGGGGGGGGGTGCGAAGAGAAGAGCGCGGAGGCACGAAGGGTCTCGCACACAATAACACCCCGTCCTCGGCTCCGGCTCGGCGGGGTCCGGGGGGAGGCGGCGGGCGAGGCGCGGCTGCGGGCTTCCCCCTCTCAGAGGCCCCGGGAGCTGTTGGCGGCTCCGGTGCTGCCCGGCTGCGGCGGCCGCCGCTTCATTGTACGCTGCCCCCGCGCCCTCCCCCCGCGCTGAGCCCCCGGGGGCGGAGGAGGAGCAGGCGGCGGCGGCGGCGGAGGAGGCGGCGGGGACCGAGGCCGAGCGGAGGAAGTTTTGACAGCTCCAGCTGTTATGTGTGTCGAGGGCTGAGTCCGGCCGGGCTGCGCGTCCCCTTCCCAGCCGGGCCGGGAGCAGGAAGTTTAACTTTGGGGAAAGAAGGAGGAGGAGGAAGGGTGAAAAAGGGGGAGGAGGAAGGAGGAGGAGAACGCTCCCCCCCCC